AGTTGGATCGCCATCCCCGACTGTGTCACCACCAGTCCCTGTTGCATCGCCAAGCCGGGTTGTGTTGGCAGCCCAGTTGCCTCCCAGTTGCATCGCCGAGCCGGCTGCATTGTCAGCGCTGGTCACATCATCAACTCCAGTGGCATCACAGAACCCCAGACTGGTTTGGGTTGGAAGGGACCTCAAAGCTCATCCAGTTCCAACCCCCCTGCCAGCAGCAGGGACACCTTCCACTAGACCAGGTTGCTCAAAGCCTCATCCAACCTGGCCTTCAACACTTCCAGGGAGGAGCAGCCACAGCTTCTCTGGCCAACCTGGGACACTGTCTCACCACCCTCACACCAAACAATTTCTTCCTCACATCTCAGCTCCATCTCCCCTCTGCCACTTTCAAGCCATCACCCCTTGTTCTGTCACTCCCTGCCCTTGGCCAAAGTCCCTCCCCAGCCTTCCTGGAGCCCCTTCAGGTACTGGGAGGCCACTAGAAGGTCTCCCTGGAGCCTCCTCTTCTCCAGGCTGAACAGCCCCAACTCTCTCAGCCTGTCCTCACAGCAGAGCTGCTCCAGCCCTCGCATCATCCTCATGGCCTCCTCTGGACTCGTTCTAACAGGTCCATGTCCTTCTGATGTTGGGGGCAGCTACATCACCAACCCCAGTTGTATTACCAGCCCCAGCTGCATCACCAGCCCTGGTCATGTCACCAGCCCCAGTCTCATTGCCACCTAGGACAGGTTGCCAGCCCCAGTCACATCACCAAGCCCAGCTGTGTCACCAGCCCCAGTTTCCTCACCAAGCACGTGGTTTTTCCCAAAACCCCGGCTCCTGGGGTGCCACCGGGCACCGAGTGTCTCCGTTTCCAGTCACAACGGGCTTTGCTCTCCCGCTGCGCAAGGACGAGGCAGGCTCAGCGCCCAGAAGCAAAGTGTGTTTATTATTCTGTAAATCTGCTGATTTGGGGTCAGTCTTGCCCAGGGAGCCCAACTCGCTGCCTGCCAGAGCCGTCCCTGCCGTGCCACCCCCGTGCCACCTTCATCACCACCCCGGTAAGTCAGAGCCCACGCTCGTTAGGCAAATTGCTCTGTCCCAAGTGAGCAGAGGTGACGGCTCCGCGGGCTCCGCAGCCTCTAAGGTGCCTAAACATGGCTTGTTAGTGCCGAGGGCTTGTGCCTTGGCTGTATTTCGCAAGTGTGATGTTAATGAGCTGGCAGCACGGTTAATTAGCCACCCGCTGGTGGGAAGTGCCAAGCCTCTGAAGTATAATTAATCGCCGTTCTCCAAAGAAAAAAACTAATCGGTGTGGAAGAGGGTGCCAGCCCATCCACCTGAGCTGTTGGTCTTGCTCCTTTTCCTTCCAAATTCAGCTTCAAGTCCTCTGCTCCCCTGCCTGGTAGCTTGTGGTGGCTACCAGCACGCAGGGAAGCTGGCCATCATTCCTTTCAGTTCTTTTTGGGTTCCTTAAGGACCTTCTGTCCAGGTCGGATCTTCCTCCCCTTCTCTGCCTCTGGGCTGGACCTCACCTGCGCCAGCTCCCCCGGCTCCTCTGGGCTCCCCAGCAGGATTTCATTGATGGAACTCAGCGTCAGGTTGCTGAAGACCATGTTGAGGTGGTCAACTCCTCGCAGCTCCTGGACATGGACCTTCTGCTTTTGCTGGTCACGCCATCGCTTGCACAACTCCGAACTGCGTGTGTTGACGGTGTCGTCCCCATCACCATAAATCATGTCCACAGGGTCCTCGTAAGGGAAATGCTCGTCATATATATAAGTCTCCACGGTGGGGTAGCCTGTGCCATAGAGGCAATACGTGTCCACTCCAGGAGGAGGCAAGTCCTTCAGCAAGTCCTTCATGTCCTCCCACATGTACCAGCCATCCTCCAAGTTGACATCGGTGAAAAAGCGTTGGTAGTCTCGGTAGGTGTAATTGTAAGAGGGTGTGGAGATGAAAATGTGGCTGTCGGGCCAGGCCAGGCTTGTTGGGAACATCCAGGGGCTGGTGGTGGTCATGCGCTGCTCTTCACGCAGCTTGATGTTGGACATGAGTGGGATGCCCTGATTGTCACCTGCAGGACACACAGGGGCTCATCAGAAACAGCACCAAAATGTACCCTCGCAAATGGTGTCCCTTGGGTGGCCTTGTTGGGATCAGCCCATCCACCAGTGACTCACAGCTGTCTCTGGGGTTTGGTTCCACCTCAGATCTCCCTCTGCTTACCCCTGCCCTGCCCATGACAGTACGTCCTCTCTTAACCCCTCTGGCTGCAGATATCCAAGAGCAACCTTCCAAACTCTTCTCTCCAGCCTAACATCTCTGGCTGTTAGGAGAAGCTGGATATAATCAAACCAGGATGTGTGATGGCCCTGACCAACCCAGCCTTGGACTTTCCCTGCAGCCCCAGCACCTCCACTCCTGCCCACAGGGACAGGTGGGAGCAGAACCCAATGAAGGTGCTGATAACGGGTGGCCAACCTCCATGCATCCTGCAAGCCTCGATGTTTTTGGTGTGTCTGGATCCCTAAGACCACGCAACGATCTCAGATAACCTTAAAAACATCTCTGACCCTTGCAGCAGTAAAGAAAAACATGAGGAGATGACTAAAGGGTGATGCAAGGGGCCAGATGTTAAAATCTTCAAGCACATGATTTTAATTCCAAACATTTTTGGAGCTTGTGACTTGCAGATATTCTGGGCTGTCAGCGTTGGGCAAGTGACTGTGGCTTTCTGGGCTGAGAAATGACTGAAGAGGAACTGGGTGAAGGGAGATGAAAAGCCTGAAGACAGCGAAGCTTATGGGGGATGGGCTTTGAGATGTGGGGAGATCTGAGCCAGTGGTGCAGGAGAGAGTGAGTGTCCCTTGGGTGGCTTCCATGCCCTCTGCTGCAGAAGGGCGGGATGGTTTGGACTGAGGGTCCAGCCACCTATGTAGATGGAGGTGGTGTGAGGGAGGTGGTGCAGATATGTGAATGACACCAGTGAGAAGGGGATGAGCAGGTCCCAAACTGCTTCCCTGACCCCAAGATTTTTGGCTGAGCCCTTTTCTTGCCCAGGATGAGTGTTTCAGCTTTCAAGGAGCACCCCTTGCCCAGGAGCCCATGGCGCAGGGTGTGCTGCAGGCTGTTTGGCGAGAGCTGGTGTGGACAGCCAGGCTTCAGGTGGACCCATCCAACAGCAGTTTTCCATACACACAAACCCACCAGCCCCAATCATGGGAAGTGGAGCAAGCTCCAGGGCATGCCCTGGGCTGCTCTCCTGCTGTTGGGGTTGTGGCAGGAACCTCCGTGGTGCTTTCTGCGTCCACAGACCCCTTGGCCATCTGTCCCCCACCTCTTCCACCACCGTATCCTTTCCCTGCCCACCACCACCCTTCCATTTCTGCAGGAGGGAAAGAAAGCAAAGAGGTGGCTGCACACCAGGAGTCACCCACCGGATGCCAGGACACGCAGGGGCTTGACAGACCCTCCCCAGGGGGCACCCAGGGAGATGAAACCACCAATGTACTGATCTTTCCAGGCTTGTGTCTGCTGTAGCAAGAAGTAGAGGACGTTCAGGTTGCCCATGCTGTGTCCGATGAGGAAGACGCGTCGCTGGTACTCATTGTGCATCTCCTCGATCAGGGCCTTCAGGTTCTGGAAGTATTCGGGCTGTTCCTCTGCGGACAAGAAGGGCACCAGCTCTTGGCCACCTCACTCATGGACACAGGGCTGACTCTGGGAGCCCCAACCAGGGAGAGGTGTGGGGACAGAGGCCACAGGTGCCACCACGCATTCACACCAGAGCACTGTGAATGGCCAAGTGTCCTCCACCACGGGCAGCCATCCTTCCCCAGGGGTTCCTCCACACCAACTGGCTCACCCAGCCCCTGAGAGCCATCCTGCTCCCCTCCCTGCCTCCCCACCAACCCCACACTTACGGGGCCCGACCCGCCAGTCGTAGGGAGCTGCCCGAACCGTCTGGTCCCTCACATAACCATTGTTCACCAGGTTCTGCACCAGGGTGTGGAGGTAACCTACGAGCAGAGAGAACAGGTGGGAATTAGGTTTGTGGTCTTCTCCTGTCAATATTTATCCACCCTGGCCCTGGTCATGGCCACAATGTCCTCTGGTAAGCCCCGTAGCTTGGTGGCTCAGCCAGAGGTGGTGGCTCTATGTGTCCCATGTGTGCTGGGGTCAATGTCCCTGCCGGCGCTCAAAGGGAGTGTGTCCCCAAGGTCATCATCCCTCACTCCCAGGTGACCTGGGCTCTCTGCAGAACCAGTCACGCCTGGAGACACAGGGAGACGTCTCCAATTGCAGGGAGCATGTGAGACACCACACCTCTCCTCCTCTCACCTGCCAGCTTGCTCTGGTCCAGGTATTCCACGGAATAGGTCTTGCCGAAGCCGGGCACACGGATGTGCACACCTGGAGCATTGGACATTTTCCGAGAGGTTCGGTTGTACACCACCCTGTGGGGACAGGACAGAGGGTAGCAGAAGAGCCATGTCCCCAAGGGATGGGGTGGAGACATGGGATGGAGATCATGGTGGCAGCCTGGACTTTGGTGGCAGTTTCCAAGGCCTGTGCAGAAGGGGAGGTGGACTTGTGCCACGCCGACCTCCTGGCATCTTGGGGCAGGAGGCTCTGATAGAGGGGGCTGTGGTACCCCCCTCACCCTGCTGTCCCCACCAGGCAAGGTGGTGGCATCTCTGGTGGGTGCTGAGGATGGTCTGGCTGGCATGAGCCTTGGCAGGGACATGGGAGAGGTCCGGGTGCTCGCAGGGGGAGCCAGCCAGCTGTGTTCACAAACAATCCCGTGTTTTTCCATGTGTGCCAGGTGGTGGCTGGGGGTGGAGGAGAGGGGAGGGAGATCCTCGCTAGGTCATTTCCCTGGGGAGCTTCCGGGGTAGGGGTGAGCGGTACCTGGTGTTATCGATCCAGCAGTCAACTCCCACTGGCAGGAAGGTGTTGAGGTTGAGCCAGATGGTGAAATAATCCTCTGTTTTGCGGTAGCACATCCAGTTCACCACGTCCGGCTTATCCAGCTTCGCCTCCAGCTGGTTCCCGAGACACCCGGGCACTGGTGGCACCACAGAAGGAGAGCAGAGCCAGCTTCACACCCTGTCCCACTGTCCCCGTGGGGCTGCCCAGCCCAGTGCTTCCCCAGCCCCCCAAGTAAGGGTCTCCTGGGGCTGCCAGGCTGGGGACACCTGAGGACCTGCTGCAGCAGCATCCCTGGAGAACAGCTTGCTCCATGCAGGAGCGAGGGTGCTCGGAGCTGAGACACGGGGTGAGCATGGAAGTGTCACTAAAACCACATCCTTGGGGACACCCTGAGCTGCCTTTCCCATGAGGTGACCCCCAGAGCTGCCACCCTTGGCCCAAACCTGCCAGTCCCCACCAGCACGAAGCATCCCGGGTTCTTCCACCTGCCTGGCTGGGTTTCCATCCTCCTCTCCTCACTGCAGCCTGGGGGAGGAATCGGATGCAGCCCTACCACATCCCCCGGCAGCTCGAGGGTACACAGAGTCCCCAGGGAGGTGAAGGTCACCCTGGTGCTGGCACCCAAGGCCCACGCACTGTTTTCCTGAACTTTAAACCCTCGGCAGAGGCTGAGCAAGGTCTCTGAAGTGCTTCGGTGCCGAGCGGAACCGTACCCTGCGGGAATTCAGTGCCAACAGCGCGTGGTAGGAAGGAAGTTCATGGTGTGACATGTATGACCTGAGCTCCCTTGATGGAGGGTGACCATCACCGCGGTGCCTGGTCTGCCTCTGGAATTCCTGGCAGGGATGGGACACCCATCCTGGTGCCACCCCAGTATGGGCACACGCTGTGGAGAGTGTTCCCAGCTGGAGTGCAGGAACCGAGTGCCAGCTCCTGGCACCAGTGCTGACCCGAGGGCGAGGAGAAGAGGTGAAGGGACTTCAGGGGACAGTGGCTGTGAGCCTGGTGGGATGGGAGCACTGGGTGATGAACCCCATGGCCACAGTGGGTCCTGGACTGGCCCATGGTGCATGGCTGGGGACAGCTTGGACCTTCAGTGCTGCTGCAGGCACTGTCTGCTATGTGTCCCGTGTAAGACACTTCCCCCAATGACACCACGAGCTGCTTGGTGGCCTAAAGTCCCTATAGATGCCTGCCCTGCACTGGTCTGGGACCTGGACTGGGCTGTGCTGTGGCTGTGGGACCTCACAGGCATGCTGCTGCCTGACAAAGGGCTGAAGGATGCAGGTGAGGAACATCTTTGACCTGAGAAGGATGTCCCCCATTTTCCCAGGTCCTCACCAGCCCCAGGTGTCCCTGCACCCCAGGTTCCATGAGTGCAGGTGTTTTGGGAAGCCACGGTGCTATCCATGTTGCAGGGTGAGAGGGCAGCCCAGCTTGGAGATGCTCTGGCCCCATCCCACCCACCGTGGCACCATCTCCCACAGCGTCAGGGACATGGCTGCAGCCTCCAAAAGCCTCATCCCACACAAGAGCTGGAGGAGATGTAGTGGTTGCCTCCCTCAACCTGCTTCACAGCTCCCTCACCTCCATGACATCTCCCCAGGGATACAGGGAGGGTCTAATCCTGCCTTCCAAGCACCTGGTTGGGATCAGATCATCCTGTGGATCGTGGTGTTGGAGAGCCCAGGCAGTGAACGGATAAAGAGGACCTCCCTGGTCAGTGAGAACAGGAGCACAAGGTGCTCTGAGGGGTCCGGAGGGTGCACAGCCAGCACCTCCACCCCCAGCACACAGCCCTGAGCTCTGCCTCCCCTTCCAGAGGACATTAGGTAATTATTAAGGGAGTTCCTGTGGGGGCAGAGGGGTTATCGACGGTCCCAAGGGCACTGGGGGTTTCCAGGACACCCAGGCCAGGGGGATGGGCTACACACGGACACTGAGCAGCACATGGAGCAACCGGACCCAACTGGGAGTGTGACAGGGGCTGGGGCTGGTACTGGGGGCACAGGGAGATGCTCCTACCATCACAAGCCATCCTGAGAAGCGGCACCTGGTGATGGCCACCCAGGTGTCCTGGCCACCAGCATGGCCAGGCAGAACCTGTCCCAGGGCACCGAGGCTCCAGACACCGTCCCCTGCTCTCTGGTGGCTCTGGGAGGGGAGTTTGTGGGGTCAGCGTTACAGTGGGGACATTCTGCTTTTTCTCTTCTCTTTTTAAAGGTGAAACTCGGCTTAATTAAAGAAAAAGAATCACAGGATCCCAGAACTGCCCAGATTGGAGAAGACCTTTGAGATCATTGAGTCCAATCATGAACCCAACACTGACAAGTCCCCGACTAACCCATGTCCCTCAGCACTGTGTCTACACGACTCTTCAATCCCTCCAGGGATGGGGACTCCACCACTGCCCTGGGCAACCCCTTCCAATGCCTCAGAACCCTTTCAGCAAAGAAATTCTTCCTCACATCCCATCTCAACTGCCCTGGACACAACTGGAGCCCATTTCCTCTTGTCCTGTCCCTTGGTCCTTGGTTGAACAGACCCACCCCCACCTCTCTCCACCCTCCTCCAAGGGACCTGGACAGAGCAAACCCAAGAGTTGTAGAGAAAAAACTCAATTCTGCTCAGCAGAAGTTTCAAGACAAAACTCTAGTCCCCACTTTGCACAGGGGCAAAGCTGTACAGGATGGAGGAACCAGCTGGTGGCTGCTGCTCCCACCTCCCCGAGGTGATGCCCCAACCTCTCCTTTCACCTCCCCGAGTGCCTCTGCCAAAGGTTTCTCTACACCATCCACCAGACAGGGTGGACATTGGGTGGGATGCAAGATGGACACCCTTCTGCAGCCACAGAGGAGGACTTAACCATCACCAGGGAGTGGCAGAAGACACAGGATGGGGTGGCCTTTGGGGGACCAAGGGGTGGTGGATGCTGCCCCATGGCGCTGGCATCAGCAGCCGTGGTAAGTGGCAGACGAGGAGGTGCTGCAGCTCCTGTCCCTCTGCCAGCAGAGCCCCACCAAGACCGAGCAAAGCCCTGAAGCACCCTCTGGGCCAGCTGGGAGATTTTAGAGCCCCATTTGCTTTCTGGGGTGCCCACCCTGCACCCCCAGCTCCAGGCAGCTGCGGCTGGGCATAGCCAGAGCCCTGCATCCCCAGCCCGGGGGACAGGAGGGGACGTGGGAACCGTGTGTCACCTCCCCGTGGTGGCTTCAGCTCCAGATTACCGCCGCAAAACCCCCCGGAGCCGCCAGCAGCGCGGTGCCCCGACCTCCCTGCCAGCTCCAGGGGACTGTGTGGCACTGGGGGTGCCCGCCCGTGCCCCGCGCGGTGCCCGTGCTGGCATCACCTTACCGAGTACCACGGGCGGCGTGCTGTTGGTCGGAGGAGCTTCTGGGGTGGTGGTGGGTGGAAAGAGGACATTGAAGAGCCAGAACTGGGACGTGGGCTGCAGGAGCAGCG